GACTTGATGCCACCATCTCCTTTGTCTAGCAGATGACAGCTGGAAAGATTACATGTAGGATGAGTTAATGTCAGAATCATATACATAGCCTTATGTGGTGGCCCACTGTTGCATTGCAGCATCTATAGAAATATGTTAGTTGGCTAATAATAAGCAGCCAAAATAGTAAAACCTATCCTAGAAGCTTCGCATCCTTAACCCTAACTCTGTCTGGTACAGTGCATTGTAGTTATATACATTTTTGTAGTGCATTTCACTTAGCCAAAGTAGGGCAGCCAGGGCCTCGACGCTTATTTTCATTATCTGCGTTGTTCTGTCAGGCAACAAGAAGCAATTTTTACTTGCTCCAAAATTTACTTGTGCAATCTATGAGCCGATTAATGTCCTCTTTTGGTTCACTGCCATAGTCATATTATCAGTGAGTGCTATAATATAGAGACCTATATTATATAAAATAGATATATATATGATACATATATATAACATATATAGATAGATGATAGTATATATATATATTGTACACTCTGATTATTTTTCCGAGTATTCCCTGCGTGCATATAGGCTCGACATACCTAGCGCACTGTGTCTTGCACGCGCGTTGCATGCTTGCGTGCGTGTGTATTACACTTACAGTATATATACCGTATTTACTTGTGATATTAAACCGCCGCTTTTTGTACACAACTTCAATAAAAAAAATCAGGGGGTAGCCACTTATAGACAGGCTAAGAAATCTTGTTAATGTACCAATGCTTGTTACCAACTTTTTCAAATGCAAAATTATTGGGGGGTGAGACTTATAATTAGTACATGCAATTATAGCTCTTCGATTATACTTATAACACGAGATAAATACAGTACCATGGTAAAATTCGTAATGAAATTCACACGCCTTACGCTTTGATGGCTGCACGCTCATTGTTGTGTCATTACCGAGTTGCAGCTTTTTCCTCAATCACAGGAAAGGAGTTTTGCTGTGCGTCCTCTCATCAAGCGATGCCCACCCCTACATATTCAGCTATAATGAATATGCCCCAACCGACTTTATAAACAATTTCGTACCCCCACCCGCAGTACATAAATCAATGCCGCCCCGACTAGGGAGCGTAACGCATTGCGCTCTGAATAAATCTGTATGGTACAGTGCGGTGTCGGCGGGCCTGCATTTTATTCAGGGACTTTTGAAACGTTTTGAAGTGAGAATGTGTGCGATAGCTTCTTGGCTCAGGGATCGTTGAAGAATATTAAACAAACTCTAAACTTTTTCAGTTGTACCGTTGTCCGATCGGGCAACTAGGCAAGAGAATAACTTGTCCGACATAGACTTTCACTTGTCCCGGGCAATCGGACAACCGTTAGTGTCGAGGGCTGGCAGCTCTAACAAAATATTCTTCATGTCTCTCATTACATGTAATGTGGGTCATGGACTGATTGATGATACACTATAGTACTTACTAGATCTGGTAGATACATGGTTGGATATCAGTAAGTATTTGTATATATGGGTGTAACAAATTACAAATATATGCATTAGCTAACCAGCTGAATGATTGATATCTGAAGCCAAAGTCACATATTTGTGGCACCACCAACGCAACTGTCAGATATTGTCATTTTGCCATGAACATGACATGATAAGTCTACTGTTGTATCCTTGCTCCTACTGCACGTTGATGTATTACATCAAGAGCTAATAGTACCTTAGGTATTATTAGCTCTTGATTACATGTATGATGTAACATATGATTTAGAGTTATTAATAATATTCTAACACATGAAATGTTATGCATGATAATAATTAATTCATCAAAATGACAAAATCGACAAACTTTCGGTGTGACCGTTTCTTGGAGCTAGAATATAATGTAGTCCAACCAGGCTGTGGGACTAACGGCAATACACATGGTTTTTTTTGATATATCATGAATGGCCGTTTCTTGGAGCAAGTGAATAATGTAAATTACAGTATGATGATGATGTTTTGATCATGATAAATTGATGAGTACACTACACTCTACAGTACAGTTGCAGTACACTTAGCCCAACCAGGCTGTGCGACGGATTGTCTATACAGCCTGACACCCTTCCATACAAAAAACCTATCACCTCTGCAGATCTAGATGAATAACTCTGTATATCTCAAATAAAACTATTCTATTACCACCTTTGACTTGCCTTGTTTGAAATATGAACGTTAACTCACAGTTGTCCTGCTTCTAAACTAGAATGCATCTCTTAAAGGCATAATAGGTCCATCGATTATGCAAAGTTGACGAATGCTACAGTAACTGGCACCTTGTGTAGTTAATAAGTACATTACCTTATAGCCAAACGCGTATTAGTTTGTCCAATATCACTGCTAATTACTAAGAAATGTCTAATTGAAATCCGTAAATCTGGTAATCTGGCGCAAACGCGAAATCGCGAGACGTCAGTCACAGACGAGTAAAAAAAAAGAACAATCGCGCCGCCCCGCCGCCCGCCAGGTGGCGCCGCGTCTCACCTGCAGTATGGCGTCGTGCTGGGCGGGGGTGCGCGGCGTGCGACCTCCGGCCGCCTGCTGCGGCGTCACGCTGTAGTCGGACAGCAACGTCGCCGAC